TGTTTACTGACTGATGGCCATCATTACTGTTCGGTCTTTTAAGACCTACTATTTACTGTACTGTTATGCTAATGGGTGTACCACATATGACTGTACTGACTGAACAACTGAAATACTGTTTAAATGAACTGTTTTCATACTGTAAGGACATTAATTCTTAACCTCTTTACGCATTATGTTATTCACTGGGCTTTAGCTCACTGCTCATATATATATGTAGGTGTTCAGGCACCGGACCGCGGCTAGGAGCGTCAGGGTTACTCCAGTTTTGTCAAGCCAGCCTTTGTGCCTCACTGCAAGGTTCCAAGCCTATTTTGCCAAGGCTTAGGGGTGTTTTAGATTCCCCCTTCTGCACCGTCTTACTGTTCTGTATAGACTGAATGTTTACCGTACTGTTATGCAGGGATTAAGTCCCTAGTCTGAATGATTGTAAATATTGTGCATACTGTTCTGTACCGTTTATGTATGAATGTATGAAAAGTCTTTTTGCATACAGATTGTCACAGCTCATTGGGCATTGTTTAATTACTGTATTGGCTTCCGCCAGGCCCTGTACTCTGTTTTATTGTACTATTGTTAAGTAGGTCTTCGGTAATCTCGGATTACTGGCCGGTTACGGTGCTAAACCCATAGGGCCGGGTTTGGGTCGTGACAAGATGGGTGGGATAGAGAGAGAGAGAGAGAGAGAAAAAAGAAGATAAAATTGCTAAAATAATTGACAAACTATGATATGGTGAATTATAAGTACGAATTTCTAACTGTGGTATGATAAATTATAATTATGATTTTCATTGATAATATAATTATACTTGAATGAAAGTATAATTTTTGTAATTTAAAAAAATTCATTTGTTTTAATTTTACGGATTGGATTGTTATATAACACTTATGACGAAATATTAATAGTAAAATAAAAAAATAAAAAAATAAAAAAATTTGTGTAACTCATGGATTTGGCATGTACCAAAAAAAAATTCAAAAATCTACCAGTTTCAAAAGATTAAACAATTATGGTGAGTTTTACACCTTTGAAAGAGTAAAACAGAAAATTAAATAACAAATAAAAATATTTACATTTTTGTTATATAATTAAAAAATTCATTCCTAAATACATTAACTTTTATATTTGTTCAAAAATTCAAAAAGTCACTTAAAAGCTAATTTCAAACACTTTTTGTTAGAAAATAAAATTAAAACTTACTTAATATTATTTATTTTTTGATATTTTTTGAAATTATTTTTAATTAATTCAACAAATAAATTTATCAATCATTGTTTAATCCCGTGCATAACACAGATAATATACTAATAAATAATTTAAGCAAAGAGTATATAAATTTAAAACTCTTAATACAAAAATTTTAGATTTTTAAATTAAAAAATTATAAAAATACATGTGTCATGACATCATTGGTCATTCCACTTTAATTATAATTAACTCTTTGAATATTATTGTAATATATTTCAAATTTCATATTCTCAAATCATGTGATTCATAAATAAACAATTTGATCATAAAATAGTATGAATAACTTAAGGTGCCATGTTTTTTTATTTCTTTATAAGAGGATGGCAATAATGTTAATAAAATGTTGAGTTTGAGATAAATTAGAAAGATCAATTGAATAAAATGTAATCATTTTTAGCTAAGGGAAGGCTGAGAGTACAGTATAGTGTAATTTGCCTGCCTTGCGAACAAGAATATCCCAAATTAAGGAGAAGAAAGCATTTCCCATATAATACGGACTACCAACAAATCAAAACTTTATGTACATTTACATTTCAGCATCTGTTTTGGTAGATTCAGATATGAATCAAAATTTTGATTTTTTTTTTTTATGTTTTGTTTTTTTTGAATGATCAGTTGGGACCCCAACAGCTCAAATACATGACTGTCCTCAAAGACTCCTCGGATTGCTGCTTCATGGCCCTCTCTTTTATTTTGGATTGATGTCATTTTTTATTTTTTATTTTTGCAATTCTCCCTAAATTTTTTATACACGATTCTCTACTAAAATTGTGTGACTGATTTATTTTCAAGTAAAATATTGATTTTAATGGATACTTTGTTTTAGAGATATGCATGCATCGTGTTGATTTTGGAAAAAAATTATCAATCAAAGCATGTTTAGCAGATTAAGAAATTTTCAACGTATTGCCAACCCACTCATTCGAAATCAATGAGTTTGTTGAATATTTTACCAATTTTAAATCAATGGTTTGAGTGAATAAAGAGGGTTAAAAATACGAAATTGAAAGAAAATATCAATGAACATACTACTTATCCTAAATTTTGAACAAAATATTATTATTTATTCAAAATCTTGACACATAACTCATAAATTAATCAAATGTATGATATTATTTAAAATTCTATTACATAAATTAATCTAAAAAAATCAATTAAATTAAGAAAAAAAAATGTAACAAAAATGTAGGGTTGGGGTAATCATTTGATCAATGATACAAAGATTAGAGAGAAATTGTGTGCACAAGTGCAAAGGGGTAGACAAATTCTTATCTACACTAGTCAATCAATCCGTTAATTTTTATGATCCAATTCACCCATTTCAATCCACCATCTTCTCAAACCATGCAATTCATAAATTAACAATTTGATAATAAAATTAGTATGGATAAATTAAGGTGCCATGTTTTTTTGATTGATTACTATTATAAGAGAATGTCAACAATGTAAAATGTTCGA